CAGTTTTACATAGCTCATGCTGCTTTTTGTTTAAAAGGTGACTTAAATCACAAAGCTGAAGAAAGCCAAGGGTAAGCTGTAATGTGGGTACATAACTGTAATATGAAAACATATTAGTGACAAAGGGCTGTTTGGTACATATTATGCATATTAAATGCCTACTGCATAACTTCTGTGTACATGCCTGATTGTTTATTACATGTGATGACTAAGTTTAACTATGATTTTTCTAGCAAACTTATCTGTATTCTCCATTATGTTCTTAAAAGCCAGCAAGATGTATGCTCTGTTATATGTTCCTAGAAGCCAGCAAAAGTGAAAAAAACTGATAATAGAATCAAAAATACAGTGACTATTTTTACCTAGGATTTTCTTTAACTAAAGCTAAAATGAGTGTAAAACAAACAGGTTAGTTGTGATTAGAGGCTAAACTTTTGCCAGTTTGCTTGGTCTACTTAACAAATGCATTTCATGCTATAGTAGTATGCATTTTTAAAGCTTTATTTAATGGGGGCTGTAGTGTTTATATCAAATGGTATGACATGCCTCCTCATATATCTTAAGGAAAGAACAGGGACATACCTCTTAAAAATGAAGTAGGTAAATCCCAAGGCCAGTTTGAAGAAGCCTATTGAATGAACATCATGATTTTTATATATGTTATTTAGAGAAGATTGTTGAGTTAATTAGTGTTAACTCAGCTATAAAAAGTTGATGAACTAAGTGGTAGCTAGCTTAGACTATGCATCATAACTTTTAAGAATTAGTTTGAAATGAGTAAAAGCATATTTGCAGCAAAAGTACAGTATCTGTCAAAAAGACTCTTAGGTACTTTGTCAAAAGGGCTGTGTAGTGACTATATTCAATATTCTTTATGCATATATAACATGTAGCCGCAGATGCAGAGTATATATGGCAGCTACATTTTATATCTGAACACTGCAGAGAATGGACCACAAGTAATAATAGTTTGGGGTGAGTGGAGCAAGAGTTGTTTATCCGTCTTTCAGTTTTATGTGTGTGCTTTATATTATTACTCTTTATATTACAACTTTTAATTATTTGTAATTAATTGTTTGAAGAAATGCCACAGCAAATATGGGAATAAAAGCTGTTGGACTGTTTCCGTTAGTTATTTTTTTCAGTCTTGGGCTGAATTGCTATTTGGTTTGAGGTGCTGTTCAACTTCTTGCAGTGTTTTTTGCCTCAGCTAAGCATGATGGCATAGGAGTTCTGTATCAAGAAACTTTAGAAAATATTATCAGAAGTCTTTCTACTTGTAACTTATTAATCAACTTTTTACAATATTAGGAGAGAGGAATAAGAAGTTGATTGAGAATAGAGCTTGGTAATTAAGAGAAGGAAAGCTTCAGTAAATGGGATTCACATAAAATTAAGAAAAGGGTTAAGCAAGCATAGCAAACAAGAATTGAAATTGTTAGGGATCACTTGGTAGAGGTCTAAGGAAACTATGTTGATTATGTTCTTGTAAGTCAGAGAAGAGCAGGATTCAACTTCACCAGCTTTGGTGTTGTAATGATTCCTTTTTTTGTGTTAGCTATGTTCCCCTTGACTATGTTTTCTCTGTGCACAGCTCATGATGGTCAAAAATGACAGCAACACATGAGCAAAATTGAGGTTTCTACTGTTGTGTTGAGGTTCATCCAGTTACAACCATGGCTGGATATATTTGGAAAATCTTCCTTAAGAAGACCTGCACTGTGAAGAAGGCAACAAATAAATTTTCTGAATACTTGTTTAAAATAAGTGCTTCCCCCTACTTTTAGAAATTTTCTGACATTTGCATAGTTAAATTGTATGACACATTGTTGGATATCCTTTTCTTTAGAACATGGGAGGTTGTATCTTCACATAATAAAACTGAAAGTTAAGTTTTAAAATAAAAGTGAAATCCCCAAATAAGACTTAAGTGTGTCAACCCAAACCTTGCAGAAAGTGGTAGATCAGTACCACCTGTTTATGGTTCTACATTGTTACTATTATATGACAAATACAGGTATGCCTCTGCTTCTTGAATGTTTTAGTTGTAGCTTTTAGAATTCTGGCTCTGAATGTTGGTAGGAGCTTGTACAAGTTCTGTAGCAGTCTCTCAGTTCCTGAGAAGTCTAACCAATAAACTTAACCTGATAGATGCTTTGAATAAAAGCAAAACTAGTACTTTAACCAGTTTTTCAGAAGTCATTTTGTTTATCAAGTGCATTGATGCCTTGGAAATGAGGGAAAATATGGTCAATTTGAGTTGAGTGACTACAGAACAACAGAAGTTCTTAAGTGATGTCAGAAGAATGGGACGCAGAGATATGGTTAATGAACGTGTGCAACATAACTGTACAAGTGTGGGTTAAAGTGAAATAACTGGCTGCTTATCTAAATATGTTTCTAATATCTTTTTTAAGTGTTTTTAATTGCTCAATGGATTAAATTAAAGAGTATGCTTGACTGCTTTTTGTATTTCATAATAAATGAAGGTCCCCCCCAGTATCATCTTTGGATTAAACCAGTACTACATCTAATTAAATAATATTCTTAATTTAGGTTAATTACCTCATATTTCTTAAATTAAAATGTGTCCATCCTTCATAAGCCCATGTAATATAAATTACACTAGAATATTAGAGAAAAAGGAATGCTAACATGAATAGCTAGGTGTGGTTATTATATGCAGTAATTATTTCTGTGATGGATAAATTGGGACAAACTAATAAAACAAGCAATAGCATCATCAGTGTGATATCAGAAAGAAGAGATAATTTTTATTTTAAGAGTAACCTGCAAATTGTCAATGCTATGAGGCAGGAGGATCTTCATAGTGTTGATATAATTTGCAGAAGTACCCTTTTGGCTGGCTTTGCTAGCACAGTTAACAGAAGAAATTTTCCATGCAACTCTACAGTGTTTTCAATAACTTTTTCTTAGCTTTTTCTGATTCGGTGTTTAGTCTCAATTACTCCTCCTTCCAAAACCTGGTTTAAGTTCTCAGAGTTATAATAATATACACTGAGAGACACAGCAATTGTACTTCCTTGCTTTACCAGCTTCCGTTAACCTACTGTGCATACATATTTTCACTTTACTTTCTCCTGTGCTTATGTTAAGGATACAGGCAATCTATCAAAGTAATGAAAGATGCTTGCCACAGATGAAAAGGCAATTCTTTGATAATTGTCTTCTTCCAGACTACTTGTTAGGAAATGAGAGCAAAGAAAAGTCACTTCTTTAATAAAAAAGGGAAGGAAAAAAAAAAAAGTTCAACAACCCCCCCTTCTTCATTTAAGGCTTCTTATGGTGTTCATACCTCTTCTTACCACAAAAAAAAAAAAGCATCAACTTCTTAGTAACAGCAGAAATGAAGAATTTCAGGACTTCACTCACTTGTACATTTCTGGGTTCCAAATTTGCAAACCTTCTGTCTTATTGTTTTAATGGCAGCCAAAATACCAAGCAAAACCAGAGTGCTGCTGTTTGTTCTGCCCTGAGGAAGGGGAGAGGTGGGGTGGGGTGAGAGGGATAGAAAAAGGCTCTTTCTGCATATCGGGAAGAAAGGCCTGACAACAGTTGGCTTCATAGGATAACTGCTTTAATTAGACAGAAAAAGAGGAGGAATACTGATAGTGAGCAAGTCACCTTCAAATCCTGGGCACCCTGCATTAGTGTGGCAGACAGTGCCCTGGTAGATTTTCACATAGCATCCTGTGTGGACCAGATTCTGTCCTTAGAGAGAAGCTCTCTGTTTTGGTTATTCAAGCTAGTATATAATTCTCTTACATGAAAACAACTCTACTCCTAAAGCGTGTTCTCATGAGAATTTCTTGCTGCACTTTTAGACAAAGGCAAGGCCATGTGGGTGGTATAGTCACCGGCACCAAGGGAGAGCTGCCTGCAGGTCCCTCTGTTATGCTGAGATGGCTGAGGTTGTCCTGCAGCCAGGGGACATGTGCAGCACAGCACAGACCTGTTTTCCCTAGCTCCTAAACGTGCAACACTCTCCCAGTCAACACCACTACCTTCCACTCCTTAATTCTCATACCCTTTTCCAAGGGTATTTGATAAGTTACAGATTACATTAATTACTCAATAGAGCAGAGATGGGCTGTTCAAGATCACCAATTTCTCAAATGCAATGTCTTCTGCAAGGTCCTGGTACAACATTATCCTAGTAATTATTTTAATTTTGCTCTGTAAAATCATAATACTCTAAAAGAGTTCCTAGGTTGGTTGAGTTTGGTCACTCTTTCTGGTGAAGTTTTATGAGCTTTTTGAAGGAATTGAAAAGAATAGTCCTTTTTAATATCTCGTTATAAAATAGAGGAAACTAAATATGGAAAGTGAAATAGATGATAATACTTTTTTATCATTAGAATGATGAAGGCATGTGGAGAAACTGAAAGGCAGCAGAAGAAACCCAGGAATTTAAATTTTACTCTTTTGCCACCTTTTGACCTGAAAGCCATCCTGTGCTGCTTGTGTTGATCTGTGGTTCTGGTCTATTTGATATCGGTCAGGACTCAGTGTTAAGAGGAAGAGGGAATTAAGATATTAAAATTGGCTCACTAGATTGTTTGCCAAGTAAACAAATCACAGTTCTCATCTTGGTGATATTATACTGCATGTCTATTTAAATTTATAACAACGTGGTGGGAAAGTAGCAATGACAGGAGAAATTAGGGCACCTAACAGTAATCCATTTTGGAAGGCTCTTTCTCCTATTACTTACGTGAAGCTTACATATATATCCTTACCTTTCAGCTTCTGCTTGTGAACATCACTCCTGTGTATGACACATCTGGTTTGCTATCCCTTTGCAAATCATCTCTGTGAACAGGGTCATCCTTCCTTGTCCTGACTTGCATTGTATATTTGCGTGTGTTCTCTAAATTAAATTTCTGAGTAGCATACTATTTCATTCTCTGCTACGGCTTATATAGGAGGTGTTATAGAATTATATGTGACTGCATGCATATGTTGTGGTTATTTTATAGGTGGTGATTCGTGCTCAAAATGGCGAACTCCTCTATCGTATTTCACCTTGGGCAAGATACGTAGTCCGTGATGAAGACAAAGTAAATTACGATTGGGTACACTGGAATCCACCACAATCATATATAGTAAGGCTTAAATATTATTTTCAAAAGGTGTATAAAAGCATGTATCATGTCATCTTGTATTTCTGCTTGGAAAAAAAAAAAAGAAAAAAAAAGGAAAAGAGTTGTTCCACAAAAAGAGTAAAGTGGTTAAAGTAGCTACCTAAGAAGTGATAGGTTTTAATTCATGGCTTTGACAGAAACAAGTGATTTCAACAATGGATGTTTTTGAGCTACTTTTTCAGTCTCCTATGGAGTATATAAAAAATAGCTACCCATTAAAGTGGTATTTTAAACTTGGCTTCCCACATGCTGCGCGAGCTTGATAACTATTCCAAGACTGGGTGGCCCTTCCTGGTACAGAGGAGAGCAAGGAATTATCAGAACTGGCTTTAAAATTTAGCCACAAATACAAAGTTCAGTACTCCAATAATAAGTCAATGCTATATGAAGTCAGACTGAGTGATGTTATTTCATATTATTAGGCTTTTTGCTGTTTTTGCTAAAAAATGGTATGCAGTATTCTGTATTAGAGCTGCTGCAACCTCTGTTTTGAGTTAAATTTTAGCACCCACCTCAAATTATGAAGCGTCTGCTTGACGGAGAAAGCGTAACTCACATGGAAAATATCTTCAAAAAATAAATTGTTACATAATCTACAGTAACTTTTATTTAGGTGTATAGTTCATATGAATTTAGTGATCTACACTGTATCTATGGTGCTGTGAGACACCTAGATCCTCTATAAGAGGAGGAATGGGAAGGTAATTGGAAATGCAATGACCTGTATGACCTAGAGTAAAAAGGAGGAGAGAACATTTAGGATGCAGACAAGGCCTTACTGAGTTAAGTCAGAAAAAAAAAAGAAGTCCTCTTATGAACAGGAGAGGTGCCCAGTGGAAGTAAAATAGAGAACAAACCTCAGCCAGAACTTCTTGTTCTCAAATTGTCCCTTTAATTTCTGTTCATATATGTGTGGTTTTTTACTGGTTTTGTTCTAACTTTTCAAGTTCTCAAAATTTCACTTGAATATTAAACTAACAAATAACTTTTTTTTTATTTGGGAGAGGGAGGAAAAGAAAAAACTTTTTTGGGAAAATAGGTAGGTTTTCCTAAGTTTCTTCAGACAAGACTTTTGTTTTAAAAAGTAAAATCCTGATGAAAGAAGCTCTTCAAGTGTAAGGAAGAGGTTTTGTGATGAACTTCAGTTGCCTCTGTGTTCTTTAAATATTTTTACCCATCTAGAAATACTGTGTACTCACCTACAGACTTGAGGTTTGGGTTGGTTTTTTTTTTTTAATCCTAAGTAACTGGAATATAGATGATTCTGTGCTGTGGAATTGTGTTCTTTAGAACTAAAATATTTATAAATTTTAGCTTGGAGAAGGCAGAGCAACTTCAAATACAAATACCTCCGAAAAGCAGGTATGCTTAAAAAATAAAAACCTATCTTTCTGTTGTCTTTTATTTTCAAAAAGTTTCATAGTAATTCAGAAGAACTTTATAGTACAATGGCTGCTATAAGTTTGTACACTTCAGTGTAATTTAAAAAGGATATACGAAAAGTGTTGAATCACAGATGTCCAGTTTCTTGTTCGTGAAGAATGTTGATTTGAAATAGATATTTGCTTTAACAGTTTAGAATGCTTAATTACTTCTGAGATATTCCATGCTCTTAGAGGAAAACCAAACCAAACCTTAAATTGTTTTTCATCTTGTGCAAATAATGTGATTGTGATAACACTTCCGAGTTGTTGTATCCTAAAGATAACTTTTTTTCCTTACAGCATAAGTATCCTTCCCCCAAGAGATTAAAAAGCCTAAGAATCTATGAATCTCATGTGGGGATTGCTTCCCCAGAAGGGAAGGTAGCTTCTTACAAAAACTTCACATACAATGTACTACCTAGAATAAAGGATCTTGGTAAGTAATAAGAGATACTTGCAGAGATAAAATTTTTATGTGCCTGTGCTCATATTAGAAAAGATAATTATCAAGCGTATATAGGTTTTCTGTGTTTTCAGATTACACATACTATAAAAATAGATTCTTAGGGCAGCAAGAATTATAAACAAGTAAAACCTATGGAAAAGAAACATAGACTGAAATACAATATGTGAATCAAAATCTGTTCCACAGATTAAGTAAAATGTGATTGCAAACGCCTAGATAAATGTTGCAGGGCAACTTGCTTTCTGCATGGTTTGCTTTCCACTCAAAAAAGGACCTGTTTTTGTGAGATAGTCTTTAGAAAATACTGTGTTCTTAATTGATTCTACTAATGTATATCTTGATTCTAAGGAAAGACAAAGAAATATCTGGATAGAAAGGATTGTCCTTTCTGTTTGTCAGAATAAGCATGCTATTTTTTTTATCCCTGAACAGTTGCTATGAAGTGTCAGAAGATGGAAATGTTAAATGCGAGAAATCCTCTTTGAGAAAAGATCTTCTAGTATATTGGAGGGATGTATGAAAGAAACAGCTGGCATGATTATCTCAGGATGAATAGCAAACCTGTTCACCTCAGTTTCTATTTGATAATTATTTTTTCCCTGTGGTGTCTTGCACTGTTATATAATGGACAATATTAGAACTTGGTGGCTTTTACTGCCCTGTGATGAAATAGGTTTTGTTACACTCAGCTGTAAAATAACTGTGACATCCATGGCTGATGGCTCTGTGGATGGTGGCTGTGCTTTTGTGTAGGGTGGTTTTTGTTTTGGTTTTTTTTTTTTTTTTTTTTTTAATCAGAGTGCCTAAAGAAGCCATATGTTTTTCTTGTAGGTTTACTTGTTGAGTCAGTGTTTCACAGAATGTGGCTTTTGCCTTTCAATAAAGTTGAGCTTGCAGGGAAGATGAGGGAGTTTGCATGTCTGGAGGCCCTCAACAAAAAGTATATCTGGATTCCACATTACGTATCTGTGACTTTCTCTACTGCCAAAGAATTTCAGTCATTCCAGGAGGTTAATATGTGTAACAGAATTAAGAAAGCTTTCTGCTTTACCGACAGATTTTTCTTTGGGGATGAGAAATGTCATGAAAAGGCTGATATACCACAAAATATAAGCAATATCAAGTTTAGGTAGGGTATACAGAAATAACAGATAATGTTTGTTCTTAATTCCCACAGTGTTTATTTAAGGTAAGTAAGTCTTTTTTTTTAATGTTTTTTTAGGGGATGTTAGATTTGGTTTTGGAATATCTTACTTGTTAAGACAAGCTTAAAGACATCAGTATGTAAGAATGCTATGATATTAATAGTTTGTAGAAATATGTGCACGACAAATAGCAAAATAAATAGCAAGCAGATTGAATGAGATTATTTTGATGCTATGTTGCCATTTATTTATAAAAGTGCTGTAAATAAGAATAAGTGCAATGAGCCTGAATTGTAAAATAGCAATGAATCTGACAAATTGCTGAGCTCATGCTAACTGTCTTCTAATAATAGCTCTTTTATAGCTGTGAAATTTAAAAAGAACAATAAAAACGAAACCGGTATCTTGTCTAAACTAAAGAATGAAGTGAAGACTTCGGTTAAACTAATAAAGAGAAATTGTGGTGGTGGGAGTTTCAACAGACTGTAGATTAAACCTGAAGGTTACTTTTTGCTAATAGTCCTTACTTGCTAGCTATCTGGGGCATTTACTGATATTAAAGATAACTTTAGTTAAGATATGTGGCGACTACTGTGGCTTCACCATTAGTATGTTTTTTCCCCTTTAAATTTCCCTCCTTTAATACTTCACTGAACTGTCTTAGTGATTCAAGAGACAGCATATCTCCTACCCTACTGTACTACCTTTGTTCTTTGGTAAACTCAGAATGAAAAACACATTACTTCTGTGTTTTGTTTTTCTTGAAAGACTCTTGTAGAGGGGCAATAAAATCATTAAATTGGAAGAAGAATGTTTTTGAAGTGGTGAAAAAAGATTACACAGGGCATAAGGTATAGTAGATGTAATCAGTGACTACCCCCAAACGCCCTGACTGCAAGTGTCAAAAGTGAAGCAGAAGTTCAGGACATGCAGATTGGCGTAGTTAATATTCTGAAGTTAAATTAAGATTATATTTGCATAACACTTACTGCTTTCTAAATCTGAGAGGTTCAATACACCTAATCATATCTAGATCACTTGACAAATTGACCGTTCCATTTTTAATGGAAGATCATGTAAGTATAAACTATTAGGTGGAATTAATTCTTGAGAGAGACTCAATTTTAGTTGTTAATCATTAGAGTTAGAAGCAGCTAAAGTGAGAGAAGCCTAGAATGGATATGTTACAGGTGTTGAATCATCTGTTAACAACCCTTAAGGCAGGGGCTTGTTTGTTTTATTTCTTCTTTTTTTTTATAGGATATAACTGTGTCCAGCTGATGGCTATTATGGAACATGCTTACTATGCCAGTTTTGGTTATCAGGTCACAAGCTTCTTTGCAGCATCAAGGTGAGTTTAAGTACTTCAGCATCTTTTTGGTTCTTTTACCTTACTCCCCATCCATTGAAATCAGTATGCTTGTATGTGTGTGTTTGCAAGTAAGTGTTTAATGGAAAGAGAAAGTAATGGCTTAGGTATTTGCTCTAGCTTCCTCTTAAATCTGAAATCAATTAGGCATAGTGATCAGCTGTTCTGTGAAACACTTTGTATAGGATACAAACAAAAAGTTTGTAAGTAACTTCGGCTGTCATGGCATATTCCAGCTTATCCAGCTTCAGCAGTCTTTATGCATGGGTTTTGTTGTGGAATTCTTGGTAGTAACAAACACAAGGTGTAAGTCATTCTTTTATGATAAACAGAACTGTAGACTATTTGTTCATCATAAACTTGATTAAAATCATGGCTCTGTGTATTCTGTAGGAACTTTTTTCCATGCTTGCAACAGACTGTACTTAGATTTGAGGCATAGGGTGAAAATAGAAGGAAAATGTATTCAGGTAATTGTTAAGAAAATTATGATAAGCCTGAATGTTGTGACTTTTTTTTTCCATCTTGGTGAAGCTCGAGTGACAACCAGGCTAAATTTAGATAGACAGGAAGTTTTAACTGGCTTAATTAGTTGAAAGAAATGTTTGTCAGACACAGGAGACAAATAGTGTCGTACCTAAAACAAATAACTAAGCAGGACAGCAGCAGATGGTGTATTTTGGGGACTTTCATGAATGTACATTTATTTTTGTAGTCATTATGGATTACTTTATTCCAGTAATATAAATATATTCTTGTCTCTTACGAAGTAAGGAAATGTTCAATATTAAATAGAAGCTTTAAGTTGTATCAGTTATCTTTTATACTGAATTTGATGTATTGACAGATTAAAAGGGAAGAATAAAACTTTGAAACTATTCCTGCAAAACATTGCATGCATGTGTGATGTAATTTTTATAATTAAAAAATAGTTTTAATTGTCAGTTTGTAATCAATACCTACTACTTAAGAGGCTGAAAAAATAACCTATATACGAGTGGAAGCTAGGTGATGAAGAACTGCTGGCTTTGATGCAGTTTTTCTAAGTAATGTTCAGTATTGTCAGCTTAAGTTCAGATTGTACCACTCATAACACATTGCATTTTCATGCTGATAGCCGTTATGGAACTCCAGATGATCTGAAAGAAATGATTGACGTTGCTCACTCAATGGGCATCACTGTTCTGCTGGATGTTGTGCACAGCCATGCATCAAAAAACTCTGAAGATGGTCTCAACAAATTTGATGGTACAGATTCTTGTTTCTTCCATTCTGGTCCTAAAGGAACTCATCAGCTCTGGGACAGCAGGCTCTTTGACTATGCAAAGTAAGTGTAAAATGTCATTTCAGGTGTGTTAGTGGTAATTATTTCTTACCAGTTGTATTAAAACTACACTATTCTCCAAACTGGAAAGTCATTTGGGTTGTTCCAACAGTTACAATATGCTGAGTTCAATTCCTTTGCTTTGCTACATACTTAAAATCTAAGATGAAATAGTAGTATTTAGGTTTTGTTATTCTTCTGTCCTCTGTGGCTGCATATGTACATGTTATATACCATGTTGTTGTGGTTTAACCCCAGCCAGCAACTAAGCACCACACAGCCACTCACTCACTTCCCCCCCACCCAGTGGGATGGGGGAGAAAATCGGGAAAAGAAGTAAAACTTGTGGTTTCAGATAAGAACAGTTTAATAGAGCAGAAAAGAAGAAAATAATAATGATAATGATAACGCTAATAAAATGACAGCAGTAATAATAAAAGGATTAGAATATACAAGTGATGCACAATGCAATTGCTCACTACCCGCCAACTGACACTCAGTTAGTCCCCGAGTGGCGATTCCTTCCACTCCCCCCAGCTTATATACTAGGCATGATGTCACATGGTACGGAATGCCAGTTTGGGTCAGGTGCCCTGGCTGTGTCCCCTCCCAACTTCTTTTCCCCTCCAGCTTTCTCGCTGGCTGGGGATGAGAAGCTGAAAAAATGCTTGATTTTAGACTAAACATTACTTAGCAACAACTGAAAACATCAGTGTGTTATCAACATTCTTCACATACTGAACTCAGAACATAGCACTGTACCAGCTACTAGGAAGACAATTAACTCTATCCCAGCTGAAACCAGGACACATGTGCATTGTATGTGTTTATATATAATGATGTAGTTATATTTATTTTTATTTTAAAATAGATTCAAGCTTTTTTAATATATAGATACCAGTTTAAATATTACATAGGAATATATATTATATATAATTAAATATTTTATATATTATAAAATAGAATTAGTTTTTTCATATTATATATTATATTTATATATAACATATTATATACGATATAGTCTATTTATATATAGAAATAAATAAAAGAATAAGAAAAGCTGAAGAAAACTTGCAAGCTCTGGAAATTTATCGTCAAACTGTCAGATTGTTGAAATGTAGAAAAGGTTTTGCCCCAGGACAACTAGATCCATTCCAAAGAGCTTCCAGGGGTCAATCAACAGTTAATACAGAGCAGGGGTCATTTTCAGTAGGCAGTTTCAGGTACCCAGTTTGGGCACACTTAATTAACTAGTATAAATATAGTGTGTGTCAAACCATGTTTTAATGCCAGATGATGATTAGCATTTAATATTCTTTACTTTGTATTCTCTGAGGTATTGGGGGCAAGGGGATTTATCTCATATGCTGTATATTTCTGTGGTTTAAATGGAGAAATAAACACAGGCAGCCAGCTTATTTCAGTCTCTTTCTCCCATTTTTCCTATGTTTGCTTATCCCTGAACCACCTTGATTCCTCCCTTTTCTTGTCTTTGATTCTTCCCCTAAACATCCCACAGTGTTTCGCACAACCCCAAAATCTCCTTAAAACATTTCTTAATAAATTCTGTATAGTGTCATTCATGTCTTACTCTATGACAAATTTGTCGTGTGTCCGTCGTCCGCCCCCCCCCCCCCCCGCACTGGGCTG